TCTCGTCGAATCAGTACAGCGTCGGGCTACTCGTATCCTTTTGGAGCACGAAGACCAAGCTATGAAGATCGTCTTGAATTATTCAACCTGACCTCATTGTCTGAGCGAAGACTTCGTGGCGATCTTATAGTTACGTTCAGGATACTTCATGGTTTGATGGGCACCAACCTCATGCATCTATACCGTCTGTCGCGCAGCAATCTACGCGGACACAGCTTCAAACTGCATAAGGAGCCATTTAAAACAACAGTCCGACAGTGGTTTCTTCCCAACCGCATATTCAACACCTGGAATAGTTTACCTGAAAGTGTGGTTGGTGCTACTTCAGTTAATAGCTTCAAAGTGCAGTATGATAGCTGGAGGAGTGTACAAACTTTATAGCTATGAACTGTCTTTTTTTTTATTTTTTTCTATTTGATGTATTTGTGTTACGTGTCCGTACACTATATTTACTGCATGAGCTTATAGTACTGTGTACTCTGCTCATCTCAATTATCATAATAATAATAATAATAATAATAATAATAATAATAATAATAATAATAATAATAATAATAGTTCAAAATAATTTTTCTGGACCACTTTCGCATGCTGAATTAAGAAAGAATTAGTAAGAAGAAACATGCTCAGAACGTTATTTGTGATAGATGATCGGTTGGCCAGCTTTTGATGTCTGAACAGATCTAATCATAGCTTATTTTAGGCAGACATTATTTATAGTCCCTAGACCCAATAAGGTATCGAATTTTTTTGACATAAAACTGCTGAAAAATACTCGAAAATTGCCACAGTTGTACCTTTTTACGGAAAACGATTTTATAATTCTCATATATGAGGATTATACGTTCAATGATACCCTATATTCAAAACAACTCTTATTCTTTTTCAAAAATCTACTTGAGATTTCAGATTATGTTTATTGCTTATCGGTCAATAATAGAAAACAATCATGATGTTTTGCAGTGATGTGTGAGCTATTAATTATACAGGGTGGCGCATCGAAAACGAAACAGACGCATTTACTAGCAGCTCAGTTTTTTTTTGGAAAAACGCTCAGACCCATCGATTTTGTTTTCGAAGGGGACCCAAGTTTGGCAAAAAATCACGTTAACACGCGCAACCCCCTGGGCGGGGATGAAGAACTTAATGAAGACGATTTTGATCGGCGATTACAATTTTGTGAAGATATGAGTGAACGAATTATAAACGATTAGCATTTTCTATTCAACACTTGCTTTTCCGACGAATGTACCTTTTTCTTAAATGGCATAGTAAATCGTAATAACTGGCCGATATTGGTCCGATTCTAATCCCAGTATTTATCATGAGGTTCATACACATCAGCCACAAAAATTAAATGTTTGGGCTGGTATTTTTGGCAATCATTTAGTTGATCCTTTTTTCTTTCCTGGAAATTTGACCGGTGAAATGTATTTGGAATTATTGGAAGACGCCATAGATCCTGCATTAACAGCCATAACTGAAAATCAGAATGATCGGCGGTATAATATTATATAAAATAATATTTAGATCAGACATTTCCAGATCGATGGATTGGTAGAAGAGGTGCCATTGAATGGCTCCCAAGATCGCCAGATTTATCACCTTTGGATTTCTTTATGTGGGATCATTTAGAAAGCAAAATCTATGCTACTCAGCCAACATCATTAGAAGACCTGCGACAAAGAATTGTGAATGAGTGCCTTCAAATTACTCCTCAAATATTGCAAAATGTGCGGCAACGTTTTGAGCAAAATCTTTATTATTGCATGGAGAGTCATGGTGGCCATTTTCAACATTTTTAAATTACTTTGCTGCCAAATGTATTGATCTCTACTAATAATAAATCTTCAAAACTACTGAACTGAAGTACATTAATTTTATATCATTATAAAGGTAATTGAATTACCTTGAAAATAAGGTATCACTCGACCCCCCTTTCCATTTAAGGTGTCACCCCCGCTTAGGGGGCGGCACGTGCTAACGTGATTTTTTGCCAAACTTGTGTCCCCCTTGAAAACAAAATCGACGGGTCTGAGCGTTTTTCCAGTGATGCCCAGTGATATTTGGGGATGTTAGTGTATTTTTCCTAACTTCTAATCAAAACTATCGGACAGTCGGAAATCGAACAATACATAACTCTTCTGAAGTCTTATACATAATGGGCTTTATACTTTTTACGCTACTGGTCAAGAAGTATTGTAAACGCAAACAAATAAAAATCGTGCAAACTTCGTTGTTTGGTGTTTCCGAGGCTCTAGAAAATTTTCTTGTAGAGGTTGAAGATTTTGAGTTGGCGGTTGTAGGAAATATGGGAGAGTATATGGCAATTGTGTGCCATTAGTATACCTGAACGCTTAATTGTCAGAGCATGTTTGACTGGCTTGATCCGTCTCATTTCTTCTTTATACATGTTCGTAGCTCAAAGCCTTTATCGCTCCTCAGTTCAACACAATTTACAGTGCAAACCACTATAGAAAAAGAAATAACCATGAGATATTCTGTAAAAAAGCAATTACAAATTCTGTAAATCAGTACAAAAATAAAACTAATGGGATATAGGAGGCCTTGATACCAACTTGACGTTTCTTGGCAGATTTAAGTTTTGCATATAGAAACATAGTAGGCCGCGCGGATCGAACGTCAGTACTGAATCTTAACCTCACTTTTTAGTAAACTTAAATTCAAAGTTTCACAACAATACGTGCAGTGTTCTCACTACAGTGAATTAGAAAAATGGAACTCAACCGAGTCCTTGAAAACTACCTACCATGTTGTTTTATTTCCATATGCAAAAGTTAAAAGGCATCCCTCGTAGCTTGTCAAAGTTATGTGTTATACGGTTGTTATCGTTACTACTACCTTTTTTGCAAAAGTCAAGTCAAAAGTTTGTTTTTTCCATTTTTGATTGTTGCGAAATGGAATTTAGCAATGATGAGTACGCGGATATTATACTAAGTGACATATAAATCCGAACACCCAGTTTAAATGGTTTTATTTTAATAAAATTTTGTATAAGTACTTAATGAAGCATAATAAGTAAATGATAAAAATTTCAAAATGATTGCACTGTTTTAAAGCCCTTTGACCTTTAATAATGTGTGGATGCACCCTGATGTGCTACGCATTCTCCAACGCGCCTAGGCATGATTCTGATCAGGTGGTCAATGTCCTCCTGTGGTATCTCATTCCAGGCAACCACCAACTCCTCTCGAAGTGCTTCTAGAGTCTGAGGAGGACGTTGCAAATTGAGCAATCTCCTACCCATCATATCCCACAGGTGCTCAATTGGGGATAAGTCGGGAGATCTTGGTGGCCATGTAACAATGTGACATCATTATGTTGAATGAAGTCTATTGTGACTCTTGCAACATGTGGTCGGGCATTATCTTGTTGGAAAGTTGGATCTGCCAGGGTGTCAAGATAGGGTAAAAGATGGGGTTCTAGAACTTCGTGGATATAACGCTGCGCGTTCATGTTACCTCTGATGAAGATTAAAGGTGATCTGGAACCATAAGCTATAGCACCCCAAACCATAACTCCAACAGTGTGATGAACATGTCTTTCAACAAAAAACTGTGGATTCCTCCTTTCACCACGTCGCCTTCTAACCCTGGCACGACCATCTTGCATGCCTAAACAAAATCGAGACTCGTCACTAAAGACAATACTGTTCCATTCCTGATCCCAGAGTGACCGTTGTCTGCACCTCTCAAGGCGATTACGTCGGTGTTCTCGAGTTAAAGGGAGGACCCAGTGTGGCCGGTATGAAAACAAGCCAAAACTTCTCATTCGTCGGTAAACACTTCGCATGCCAATAGGTCTTCAGTGTTCTGCAAACCACTCATTTGCAATGGACCTGGTAGTGGAAAAACGGTCCCTTAAGGCCAATAATCTTAGGCGGCGATCTTCACGGTCTGTTGTTCTACGGCGGCGTCCAGTGCCCCTTGCTCTTTGCGTACGGCCTTCTCGAAGCCATGCCTGACAACACCTAACCACACACTTCTTTGCACTCTAACTGCAATTGCCCGAAAAGAAAGTCCAGCTTCCCGAAGTCCCACCTTACGGCCCCTATCAAACTCACTAAGTTGACGAAATCGTACAGGTCTCCGTACTCTAGGCATCGTAACCGATCGTAAAGGATGTCAAGAACCAAAATCCGCCAACGTTGGTTCTTTACTGCGGCTGAAATATTCATTTTTAGAGCGTTAGTGAATTAAAAAAAAGCAGTATAAAAACCGGAATGTCCAACTGATAAGGCTGAAAATTTTTTCACTTGTTATTTACAGTAAGATAAATACATCCACCAACTTTTATTAAAATAAAACCATTTAAACTGGGTGTTCGGATTTATATGTCACTTAGTATATTTTTGTGCACGAGTTTTGTAAT